GAGAGTGAGAGCACAAGTGTGCTCACATGAGCAGGCAAGGGGCAGAGAGAAAGAGGAAGAGAATCCCAAGCAGGCTCCACGCTGTCACTACAGAGCCTGATGCAGGGCTCGAACTCAGAAACCATGAGATCATGACTTGAGCCGAAATCAAGAGTCATATGCTTAACTGACTGAGCCACCCAGGTGCCCCAGAAGTGACACAGTGTTTAAAGGATTCTTCTGGATACTCTTTTGAGATTAGGTTGTCCTCGCTGGATTCACCTCAGCCCTGCCAATGGGAACTTAATCCTGGGTCTCGAGTCTTGCCTTCCACATGCCTCATCTTTCTCTCTCTGCATCTGCCTGTCAAAGCACAGGGGGGGGGGGGGGCCGGGGGGCAAGCCTAGGTTCCCGTGCCTCTTCTCCTGGGGCTACATCTTCATTCACAGTCACAGCCTTTGTTTTTTGTTTGTTCGTTTTTAACCCTCTGAATAGTATCTCCTTGAGACGCTTTTGGGGGTATTAATCTACTTCTCTGGTGGTATGTTCAACATTGTGAGAGTTGGGCGTGACTTCATATCCAATATTTGTTCATTCTTTCAACAAACATGTATTAAAAACCTATATGGGGGTGCCTGGGTGACTCAGTTGGTTGAGCATCCACTCTCGATTTCAACTCAGATGATGACCCCAGGGTCGTGGGATTGAGCTCCATATCAGGATCCATGGTGAGTGTGGAGCCTACTTAAGATTCTCTCTCTCCCTCTGCCCCTCTTGCGTATGCTTTCTCTCTCTCTCTAAAAAGCAAAAAGAGAAACAAAATAAAAAACGTATGTGTACCAAGCACTCATTTGGTACTAGGGATACATCAGTGAACTAGACACATTAGCTTCCTGTTCTAGAAGTGGCAGTGATGGGGGAGACAGAATCTTTATTATTTTTTTAATGTTTATTATTTTTTTTTTTTGAGAGAGAGATAGAGCAGAGCACGAATGGGGGAGGGGTAGAGAGAGACAGAGACACAGAATCCGAAGTGGGCTCCAGGCTCTGAACTGTCAGCACAAACCCCGACATGGGGCTCGAACTCACAAGCTGTGAGATCATGACCTGAGCCAAAGTTGGATGTTTAACCAACTGAACCATCCAGGTGCCTTGGAGACAGAACCTTTAAATCCCTTATGAGGAGGGTTATTTCAGAGAATGATGAACGACATGAAGATCCCAAGGTGACTATGAGATAGCGTGACTAGTGGCTATTTGAGACTGAGAGGTCCAGAGAGCTTATTCACATTTCACCTGTGCTCTATGCTCTAATTTGTGTGTTTGTGTGTGTGTGTGTGTGTGTGTGTGTGTGTGTGTATGTAGTTTTATGCAATTTTATTTGACCACTGACACAATCAAGATACATAAGTGCTCCACAAACACAGGGCTCCTCCCTGGAAACCATTTGTAGCCACACCTGTCCCTCCATCCCATACTAACCTTTGGCAACTGCTAATCTGCTTTCTATCTCTAGAATTTTGTCCTTTCAAGAATATTTTGTAAATGGAATCAGCATAATGCCCTGAGATTTATCCAGATTGTTTATAGCATCGGTAGTGCATTCCTTTTTGTTGCTGAGTGGTATTCCACAGTGCGGATATACTACATACAGTTCTGTTTCCATTCATTTGTTGAAAGGCTTTTGAGTCATTTCCGATTTTTGCCTATTATGAATTAAAGTGCTATGAACATTCTTGTACAAGATTTTGTGTGAGCAAAAATCTAGGATAAATGTCTGGAAATACAATTGCTGGTTCATGCGTATTTAGTTTAGTTTTGTTTTAGAAATTGTGCAGAGCACAGCTATACCATTCCACATTCCCATAACTAATGCACATATATCCATTTTTTTCCACATCCTCACCAGCATTTGGTGTTACCACATTTTTTTTTTTTACCATTCTGGTTGATGTATAGTAATATATATCATTTATGTTTTTCATTTTCATTGCCCCAATAGCTGATAATATTGAACATATTTTAATGTGCTTATTTGCCATATTTATGTCTATTCATGTCTTTTGGCAGCCTTTTGAAAGTTTACATGAATCTTTATATCAATTTGCCACTAGGGTTGAGAACTTGCTCACAAACTTCAGTTGGCTCTAATTTTGGGAGAGCAATTTTCCCAAAGAATTATAAAAGAATAGACAATATAATACCATTTCTGATGCATCTCTCTCCACCAATTTAGAGGAACAAATTAAGTTTACATCTTCTTTTTTAATGTTCCAAGTGTATGACATACAGTTGAATGTAATGAAATTCAGTTTCCATGCTTCACAATCTCCAAAGCTGATTTGCTTTAGACTAAAAACATTTCAATTAGCATGGTAAGAAAAGTCTTATTATACTTCATTTGTAGTAATCTTACAATACTAATAGCTTTTTTTTGTTTTGGGGAAAAAAAAAATCCATGCTCCCTGAAAAAAAAGACCTTGAAAGAACAGAGACAATACACACGACCCAAGTCTCACCATCTAAAGATAATCACTGTTAACAGTCGGTGGGCATACTTATACATTTCTTTCTGTGTGTGTGTGTGTGTGTATGTATGTGTATATTTATACACATATATTCTCTGCACACTTAAAATATGATTATAATTTATATTATTGGTATGATGCTACTCTGTATCTTGTTTCTTACAAGTATATATTATTGAGTTCCACAGATGTGCATTATCATTTTTAAAGCCTGCATAGTAACCCATTGTGTGTGTGTGTGTGCACATGTGTCTGTGTGTATGTGTGTGTGTGTGTGTGTGTGTACACGTGTGCATGTGCATTTAACCAGCTTCCTTATTGATATTTAGCTTCTAACTTTTGGCTGTTATAAATAATGTTTTAATGAATGTTCTTGTGGGGACAGCTTTTTAAATTTTTATGTTTTCTTAGAGTAAATCGCTAGAAGCAGGACTGTTGAGTCAAAAGTCATATATATGTATTTACATATGTGAATATGTACATATGAATATACATATGTAGCAAAAATATGTATATATCAGTTTGTAGATGTTTATAAACTGCCTTTTAATTTTTTTTAACGTTTATTTATTTTTGAGACAGAGAGAGACAGAGCATGAACTGCGGAGGGGCAGAGAGAGAGGGAGACACAGAATCGGAAGCAGGCTCCAGGCTCTGAGTCATCAGCCCAGCCCGATGCGGGGCTCGAACCCACGGACCGCGAGATCGTGACCTGAGCTGAAGTCGTATGCTTAACCGACTGAGCCACCCAGGTGTCCCTATAAACTGCCTTTTAGAAAGATTGTATTGATTTACATTTTTAGCTACACTGCCTGAGTAAGGCTCTTGTAAATTTCTCAACCTTTTACTTATATCTCCTTTCCAACAAATTTCTGTTTTCTTTTTTTTTTTTAAGGCTTTGGAAGACATAAGTTGAAATAATTTTTAATTGTAATTTTTTAAATTTTTTAAAAAAAAATTTATTCATATTTGAAAGACAGAGAATGAGCAGAGGAGAGGCAGAGAGAGAGAGGGAGACACAGAATCCGAAGCAGGCTCCAGGCTCTGAGCTGTCAGCACAGCTTGACTGAGCCACCTAGGCACCCAAAATTGTTTATAATTTTTAAACAATTATCTGAGGTGGGAGCTCAGGGCTTTTTGAGGCTAACTCCATAAAAGCTTTTCTGTGAAATGACCATCTTGTAGAACTGTTCCTCCAGGAACAGAATGTGTTTGGGAATGTAGTCTGCTTCAATGGCTTTGTTATCTGGCCACCTAGCATGCTACCGCAATGCTAACCTTGCTTGGGGAATGAGGTCAGGACGTACACAAATGATATTTACTTGTGGACAGAGGAATTAATGACAAGGAAAAAATGTCCAAGATAACTACCAGCATGCCAAACTTCAAAGATGGAAAGCTGTGGCATGTAAACTAAGCATAAAAGAGCAAATCCTACTTGCAAAGTTAGGGATTTATTGTAAAGTTGGAGGATATTGCAGTTAGGGTTCACTCAAAAAAATTTTTTAAATATGATCAAACAATGAAGTATAGCATTTTAATTATGATCTGGAGAAGAAAACACTTTACACTATTTCCAAATTTGAAACTTGGAACATTTTTTTTTTTTGGTAGTCATTGGACTTATTTTTCAAGGTCCAGCAGATATTTGGTTTAATGATTTAGTGAGTGTACTTATCTTTTACATGATGACATTACTGTATTTTTGCTTATAAACTTCCTCAAATGGATTAAGGAACAAGAGGACTGACTGCAAAATGTACCTTTTAGTAATTAGGAAATGCATGTTCATGATACAGCACCTAACACTAGATAAGACTTGAGTTACACTATGCATCTTCTTACATGTTTCTAACACTTTCTGGGCAGAATTTCTTTCATTGCTCTCTTTGGCAATGAAATGCTTATAGTTCCAAATTTTCAGCAGCACACTCCCCCTTCATCCAATTCCACAGGCTTTTCCTGGATTATAGAAGTGTTTCCTGGATTATAGCATGAAGTGTTTGCAAGCTATTTAAGACGTATTTTTGGACAGAGTTCTGGAGTTCTTGCGCTTTAAATTTATGGTGCTAGATTTAATAGCAGAATTTGTAGCTACTGTCTATCTGGCTTCCTCTAAATAATGCTACAGTAGCAAAATACCTCATTATGGCTTTTCCCTTTTCTGGGCATTTAGTTCTCTTATCAGTTTCCTTCCTTATAAGTTTACTTATACAAGTATTCTGAGGTATATTTCCAATGTTGTTAGTCAAATGCAAGGGGATCAGGTGGGGTGGCAGAGCAGAGTCAGTCACAAATGCCAGGTTCCAGCTCTGTTCCTGCAGAACATTAGTTACATCACCTTGGATCAATCCCTAATATCTTTGCTTCATTACTGTTAAGATTAAGAGATTCAATTGGCGACTATATAATAAAGACCCTTCAAATATGAAATTATCTGAAAATAATTTACGAACTCATGTAAAATAAGATTTTACAGGTTTTTTTTTTTTTCCAGGCATTCTACTTGCAAAGGCAAACCTTAACCTTAAAAAAAATTGGGTGACTATGTACAAAAAGTTACTAAAATGGTACAGGAATTAAGTGAAAGTCGTCAGAGGCATTATTTATTTGTGAAGCTGTTACCCTTAAAAATTGCCAGTTATTTTACCAGCAAAAGATGGGTTTATTTGGGAACAGTAGAGGATTGCAAATGGGACAAGCAAGCTACCTCAAAACCAAAACCCTAGGCAAGACCACAAACAAAAGCCAGGGGGCATTATCTTATGACTTCCGGTTTGAACAAACGTCAGTTGGAGAGGAGAGTTCAGGGTGATGATAAAATACCCCTTATCAGCTGAGGGGTAGTTGATTTCTTGCAGGAGATGCAACGTCCCTCTTCCCTGGTTGGGGGCCTGTAATTGATGATTCTTTCCTGTTGAGATTCTTCTGTTAGGCTTATAATTGAGAATTCTTCCTGTAATTGACACTGAGTGCTAAGGCTCCCTAGCCTCTCTTAGCGTTGCTAGTCCACTTTAGCGAGGTTTCCCTTTCATGTTCAGGATGCAAAGAGAAAAAGTTCCAAGTTCACTCCTACATCTTAACCCCTTAGGAGGGTGGTGATTATAGTTCTCCAAACTTCACATCCGGCGTCTCTGTGACCTCAGGCATTTGACTGTATTTCTTATAAAAGACCAAATGGGGGTGGGATGGGGATGAAAGAAGAGTCCTCATTTTTTATTTAGTTAGGGTCATTCGGTAAGGCTCAAGGGGTGAGTCTAGGTCTCACAGTATTTCTTAGAGGGCGCTCCGCAGTTTCTGAACTGGCTGACTCTGAATCCCAAAGGACTCTAGGTGATGAAAGGAGGCTCCCTGTAAATAACTTGACCAAAAAAAAGAGTGCTAAGTCAGATGCAGGGAAGGGGGGGCGTGGCATTCCAGCACCGAGTTTACTCTTCACTGCCCTTCTACTTTCTGGCACTATTTGCAGCAAGGGATGTTAAGTCACCCTAAGAGCGTCGTGGCCCTGCCCTCCGAGCAGGGGGCGGGGCAGTTACACGCGTCCAGACACAGGCTGGCGGGACGCAGGAACCTGTAATAATGTGGGAGAGCTCCTTGGGACCTTCTCTTACGACGCCTCCAGCCTGACCGCGAGAGTGCTGGAATCTGCCCACACCTTGGTTAGGTGCAGGTCCTACCGGTCCGCGAGTGGGGTCGTCTCCACTGTAGGGAGAGGGGCGTTCCCTGCTAGGTGTAACCGCCGCGCCCCACCCCGCCTCCCGCCACTGGGCCGGCCCCGGGGTCGACCGGCGAGGGCGGGTCGGGAACAAACTGGCAGCTGCCTCCGCTCATCCTGTTGCCAGGCGACGGGGAAGAGGCGGGGCCAACATGTAAAAGGAGGCGGGTTCTGCAAGGAAACGGCAGGCGTCAGAGAAGCGGTCGCGCAGCCGCCCTTGCTCTTCTCTAGCAGGCGTGCCCGGTTCGGCGCAGCGCTCCGCCCCCGCCCTGGAGGCCGCTCTGCGCACGCGCGGAGCGAGCAGCCGCCTCCGCCCCTCGCAGGGCTCGCGGCGGGGCTGTGCGTCCGGCAGTGGGGCAGCTCTGGTGGGAGCCGCCCGGGAGCCGGTGAACCGAGCGGTCTCGGGCGGCCAGGCGCTGGACGAAGGAGTGCGGTGGGCGGCTGCCGTGTCCACCGCGGCTGAGGAAAATGGTGTTCGAGTCGGTGGTCGTGGATGTGTTGAACCGGTTCTTGGGGGACTATGTGGTGAACCTGGACACGTCCCAGCTCACTCTGGGCATCTGGGGAGGTAACGAGACCGCCGCCGCCCCCTCAATCTCGTTTTCCTCCGGGCCTTTGGTTTTCGGAGCCTCGGGCCCCTCGCTCGCTCGGCACCACCACCTGCCGCCGCCCTCCTCGGGGTTAAATTACGTAAAGCCAGGCGGCGGTTCCAGGGCCTCTGCCCGCAAGTTGTTTGTATTCTGGCAGGAGGGGGTTGGGGTCGGGGTGCGGGCTGTAACGTCCCCCTTTTCCGAGCCGGGCGGTTGAGGGGGCCCGCGGTGGATTCCGAGAGTGCGGGAGACCGATTGCTCCCAGGCGCCCTTTTCTGCCCGTCGCCCCGCGCCGTCGAGCTTCAGCTGCGCGGGTCGTGGGGGTGGGGGGGGTCACAAGACGCCGGGGGGGCTTGTTCCCATCCCTGTCATTTTGTACCCCCGCGGGTTATGGCGAAGGCTCGGGAGAGCGCACGGAGTGTCGCACGTTGTCTCGCACGTGCAAGCAAGGCGCTGCGACCGAAGACGCCCTCTTCCTTCCCCAGCTCGGGCGTGTGGCTAACCCGCGGTGTCTTCTCGGCCCCGGTTCCTGGCCACCCCACCTGCATTCCCGGTTGCTGGCTTGGCTCCTGCCGGTAACAGAAAGCGAAAACTCCTGGGCACGATTAACTCAAATGGTTGGTCAGGTGTTGCCAGTTCACAGCCTGACCCGGGAGTTAGGAGGAGGACAGAAGCCTTACTTTGTATCCACTTACTCTGGTGCGCTGCCTTATTTGGAGCCTCCTTTTTACCGCTGCCATCTGTTTTTGTATTATCCCCTTTTTAAACATCCGTTGTAAGTTAGATTGTTTTTCCGTAGCAAGTAAATCTCTTGGGCCAAAGTTAGGGCTTTTTTTTTTTTTTAATTTAATCGTTAATATGTACACACTTTCAGCCTCCTTCTAAGACATTTATCTTGAGTTTTCTCCTTTATGAAAGGGTGTGAGGAGGTAATTATTTTGGTGGCGAGAACCTCGTTAGGGCTGTTGGTATCTGGTACCACGGGTAGAGCCAGCCTCCGCGGAGAAGGGACGTGAGCGCTAGCTCGGCATCTCCGGGTAGTATCGGAGACGTGAAGACTGTTGAATTTGTTCTTCTCACTTGCCGAGTAAAAATCATACGATCTGCCTTCACCCACTTCAGAAGGGAAGCCTTGCAAATATTTTGTGGTGTGTTTTGAATCGTAGTGGAGGGTTCCCATAGAGGTTTGTGGAGGTGTGTGTTGAGTGTGATTTATGGATGAATTTGTTTAAAATTTAGGTGCGGTAAAATTGACTCGCGATGTAAAAGTTCTGCCTTTCTTGACAGACGCAGTGTTAAGGAATGGATCCACTGCCACAATCGTGATACCAAAAAGTTCCATCAGGACACCGAAGTTCCCCCTGCTGCCCCTTTTTAGTCCACCCTTCCCAGCCTCCATTTCTCCCGGCAGCCACTGATCTGTTTCCATCCCTACAGTTTTGTCTTTGCCTGAGAGCCATATAAATGGAATTATGTGGTAGATAGCTTTTGGGGTCTTCTGTTTTTACTGAATTTCACTCCTTCCACTTTTTACACAAAATGAATTTGAGAGGGCCATCCGTATGTTGCATGCACCAGTATTTCATTCCTGTATTTTTGAGCAGTAGTTGATTGTAGGAATGTGTTGCAAATGTTTATGTTTGCTGGTTTCCCTTTCTTGCCATTAGGAATAGAGCTGCTAATAAACATGCGTGTACGGGTTTTTGTGTGAACGTAAATTTTTATTTCCCATGGGTTAGTACCGAAGAGCGCAATTGTGAGGCCTTTATGGTAAGTTAATATTTAATTTACGTGAAACTAAGCTGCTTTTCAAAGTGCTTGTGCCATTTTGCAATCTCACCAGCAGTGTAGTGTAGCACTGACTGCTCAACGCTTAGTTACTTTACACCCTCACTAGCACTTAGCATTGACATTTCAGAAACTTTTTTTTTTTTAGCCATTTTACTAGGTATATAGTGCTGAAGTATGGTGGTTTTAATTTGCATATCTAGTGATTAAAGATGTTGAGCATCTTCTCATGTTCTTTGCTGTCTGTGTGGTTTCATTGGCGAAGCGTTCAAATCTTTGGCTCCTTTTCAGTTGGCTTTTTTTCTTTTTTTATTGAGATTCAATGTACCCATTAAAGTGGCATTTTAAAAATGGTATTTTAAAATGCCATTTAAAAAATGTTATTAATGTAGCTGACACACAATGTTAAATTGGTTTTAGGTATACAACAGTGATTCAACAATTCTAAAGGTTATGTAATGCTCATCATGATAAGTGTTACCATCTGTCACCTTTCCATATTATTAAAGTATTATTTGGTTTTATTTTTTATTTTTTTAAGTAGGCTCCATGCCCAACATGGGGCTGGAACTCATGACCCTCAGATGAAGAGTCACATGCTCTACCAAATGAGGTAGCCAGGTGCTTCCATTATTACAGTATTATTAACTGCATTTCCTATGCTTTACTTTTCATCTTAAATTTACCCTTTTAAGATGTACAATTGAGTGTTTTTTAGTATAGCCACAAAATTGTGCCACTGTCGACACTAATTCCAGAACTTTTTCAACACCCCCAAAATAAGCCTCATGCCCATTAGCAATCACTCTCAAATTCTGTCCCGAACTTCCCGACCTCAACTCCAGCAACTTCTGATTTCCTTTATGTTTTCTATGGAGTCACCAATTCTGGACATTTCACTTAAATATAATCCTGCAACATACATGGCTTTTTGTTTCTGGCCTTTTTCACATAACTTTATATTTTCAAGCGTCATCTTGTAGGATGTATCATTTTATTTCTTTTTATGACTGAATAATAGTCCATTATATGGGTGTATCACATTTTGTTTATTCATTGATCAGTTGATAGACATATAAATTATTCTTTTTGGTTTTTATGAGTAATGCTGTGAACCTTCATGTGCAAGTTTTTTTGTGGGCATATGTTCTAAATTTTCTCAAGTATATGCCTAGGACTGGAATTGCTGAGTCATATGGTAACTCAGACTTTTTATAGTACTGTTGAACTCTTTTCCAAAGTATTTTCTTATTGTTAAGTGTTGAGAGTTCTTTACATGTTACATATATGAATCTTTTGTCAGAAAGAAAATCTGAAAATGTATTCTCCCAGTCTCTTCCAAGTCTGTCTTTTGCAAAGCAAAAGTTTTAAAATTTTATCAAGTCCACTTCAAAAACTTTTCATGAGTCATGCTTTTGATGTATCTATGAAATCTTAGCCTTCCCTGAAATCACAAAGATTTTCTCCTGTGTTATACAAGATTTATAATTTTATATTTTATGTTTAGATTTCAGATCCATTTTTGTAAAAGTTGTCAAGGTTGAAGGTTGACATTCATTTGTTGGCATGTGGATGCAAATGTTCAATTGTACCATCTGAAAAAATCCTTTCCTCATAGAATTATTTTTGCACTTTTGTAAAAAAAAAATTAGACTTTATATTGCGTGGGTTTATTTTTGCATTGTCATCTGTTTGAATAATATGTGTGTCCATCCTTTGACCAATACCACTCTTGTCTTGATAACTCTAGCTAATAGTCATGAAATCAGGTAGTGTGATTCTTCTAACTTTGGTGTTAACAAAAATTTTCAAACAACATATCAGTGTTTTATATATAGAAGTTGGTTCTATTTTGATAAACAGAGCTTTATTTTATTTTTTAGGGAACTCATGCAAATGGGGAGAGAGGCAGAATCTTTTTTTTTTTAATTATTTTTTGAGAGAGTATGAGCAGGGAAGGGGCAGAGAGAGGGAGATACAGGATCTGATCATGTAGGGCTCAAACCCACAAACTGAGATCATGCCTTGAGACCAAGTTGGTTGCTTAACCTACTGAAACGCCAAGGCGCCTTGGTAGACAGAATCAGAATCTTAAGCAGGCTTCATGCACAGTTCAGAGGGTGATGCAGGGCATGGTTCCAGGTTCATGACCGGACCACACGTCAAGAGTCCGGTGCTCAACTGTCTGAGCTACCCAGGTGCCCTAGGGAAACTTTAAGAGCTTTTTGTTAAATTCTCCAAGGATTGATTGATTGTTTATTTATTTAAATTGTTTGTAATGTTTATTTTTGAGAGAGAGCATGAGAGGGAGAGGAGCAGAAAGATGGAGACACAGAATCTGAAGCAGGCTCTGAGCTGTCACCGCAGAGCCTGACTGAGCCACCCAGGCGCTCCTCCCTCCTTTGAGAATTTAAAAAGCAGTAATTTTAATAAACTTTTAAAAAGTTATTTGAAAATTTCAATAATAGAAACTAGATGCATAGGAAAATTGTTAAGGTTATGGAGTTAATATTTTATGGTCTAATGTCAGAAGGACGTTTGGTTTTAAATGTATGCTTTTGCTGGGTGTGTGTAATCCAGCTAATTGCACTCTTAGCATATTAATAGTGTTAGTGTTCAGGAATTAGATGGATGATTTCAAACCTAATAATGGGTAGTGCTTTGAAAATGTTTGAGGTAATTTTTTTTGGAAATGAGAATCCATTTTTCCTTAGAAACTTGGTTATACATGAATGAAGAGTTTCCAAAAACGTATTTAATTATAATGTAGAATAGTGCTGCTATACTGGGCCCTACAGGAAGCAGACTGAGTGCTGGAAGCATCTGTTTTATGAAGGAGAAAGAGGAATTGAGCTTTATCTCACACTCTTGATGAATTTTGATGTTGATAAAGTACTTTAAAAAAAATTTTTTTTTTTAACGTTTATTTATTTTTGAGACCGAGAGAGACAGAGCATGAAGGGGGGAGGGGCAGAGAGAGAAGGAGACACAGAATCGGAAGCAGGCTCCAGGCTCTGAGCCATCAGCCCAGAGCCTGACGCGGGTCTCGAACTCACGGATGGCAAAATCATGACCCGAGCTGAAGTCGGATGCTTAACCGACTGTGCCACCCAGGCGCCCCATGTTGATAAAGTACTTTTTATGCGCTGCTATTAATCCTCCACCGTTTTGTATGTCATTTACTTAGGTA